GCTCTATAAATCACGTCAGCTCAAAAGCTGTCTCTCCTGAATTGACACTACATGCAAAGCAGAAAAGGTTAAGTCTTACCCTGGGGCGGATCTTCAGGGCCTGCAGGGCCCCTGTGATGGCTTTAATCCAGCTGTGCATGTCCTCAGGGCTGTCTGCCTGCAAAACATGGCAGCCAGAAATGAGACCTCTGCTTGCATTTCACAAGTCGCTGAGTGCAGCTCCACTGCATCCAATGGAAAGGTCTGCGGAGGTATCTGGACACAAACACTCACCGCAGATGGAGGGTTTTATGTGGTCACGCACCCCGTGACCTCACATGGCAGCCCATTTCTGTGCCACGGATCATTTTTATCCCTCCTGACCATCAGACAGGACTCAAATTTACTACAGAGTTGGTCTGATAAGAGATCACCCTAAGAAATGCTTGCCTCTCATATCATTTTGGGACTGTCACGGACACTACCAGAGGTTCTACATTTGATGAAGCATCACTGCACCCTGGGGGTCAGCTAGTCCCTGTGGGCCTGCCTCTCAGCTATGCACACCAAGTAGCACATTGCCAGCCCCTCCCCAGGCACTCCCTGGCAGGTGAGGCGCTGCCACCCAACACAACAAGCCCGCTGTAGCAGGGGGCAGAAGCTACTTGAACAATCCCTGAGCCCAGAGGAAAACTGGCTCCAAGCTGGCTCCAGGATCTCAGCTGCTCCTGGGCTGTTTCCTTCTATACCACTGGATGGCAGCAAGTCCCCTCCAGCGCGGGGAAGAGAGCTGCATGGCGGGGCACTACCGACCTCAGAAGCCTCAGTACCTGCTGCAGGGGACTGGCCGGAGCCATGGAGGTAGCAGGCGCTTGGCTGCTCTCTGGGAACATGTGGACGCAGCCCTACCAGAGCAGTCCTGAACCCGCACACAAGCGCAGTCCAAGGCTGATGTCCAGAGGAGAGGCTCAGCAGTCCAGCAGCTTCCCAGACCCAAATGCACGCTGCACTCTGGGGCTGCAAAAAGCCCCTGCCCAGCACTGTGCTGGCACAGGTCCCAGCAGGGCCTGAGAGCAGCCTGCGCTCTTCCCAGGGACATGACTCATCCCAAGCCCGTGGCACTACAGAGTGCCAGGCCCAGGCAGGCGGGAGCTGCGCAGGCCCAGCCCCAGACCATCAGGTGCCAGTGCAGCCGCGGCTGCAGCGGGATGCAGATGGGATTTGGACACAAGCATGCAGAAGCCCAGGATGGAAAACGTGGCTCACGCATGCCGAAGAGGCTGAGCAACAAGCCACGGAGAGCACCTGCTTCACCATGGTCCATCTCGGGATGCTGGGGCTTGAGACCTCCCCTTTATACTCCCCTCTGCTCTGATCCAGGCAGCCACGAGCTCTGGCAGCAAGCCACCCGGAGAGCTCCCACCAGCAGCTTCTCCCTGTACCCCTGACATTGCTCACACGAAGAACCTGACTGGCACAATTTCTCCAGTTCTGGCCGACCACACACACAGTTATTCTGCAATAGCTGTCAGGCAGACACTCTTCCAGAATCAACGTGGCTTTTAATTCAGCGTCATGCCTCTGCTTCCACAGCGCAGTGGGTGGACTACAGGGCTGGCAGCTGAGCTGTGCCAGTTCCCCACGTGAACAAGGCTGGAGAGGGTGGGTCTGGCCTATGTGGCCGAGTTGCTCAGCTTTCCCAGTCTGCCAAGGGATTCGTTGCAGTGAGAAGCAGGCTCGGGAGAAGCCTACGCCTCTGCTTGGCAAGCTCCACGAACGATTGCCTCTTGGCCTCACAAATCCCCTACCGCCCCACATGGCAGGAGAGGCCATCCAGTGAAAACTAGCTGGGGAGTATGTTTCTTTGCAAGAGAGCTTCCTGCCCTGCCTGGCTGAGTGTGGAGTCCCGTCCACAGTGGAGGGGCTCTAGGTGGAGTCGACAGGTGCTGTTAGCTTGCGCTCCAGGCTCGCGGCTCACTGGGGACTGGTGCAGTGCAACGAAGGATGGCAGGATCTGTCTGGTGGGGAGTGCAGCTGTCACTGCTTTGCATGGGCTGTGTTACAAGAGCCCCCCACCACCTGAAACTCCCTGTCCATCAGTTAGCTGCCATCACTCTCCATTTTGCAATTACCCCGCCAAATGGATTCAATGCCTAGATGCTTCCCAGGTGCTTCCTCTAGACAGGGACACTGTGGCAAGCCACCCAGCCAGCAGGGCAGCACGCTGCACAGGTGTAAGCAACTGCACAAGGCACAGGACAATGATGGATCTGGCCAACAGCCTCTCAGGCTGCAAAGTCACCAGCTGAGAACTTAAGGAAGGCCTCATCTGAGTCTCTGCACGCTGCTCTGAAGACAGGAAGTCATGTCACTGCAGCCAGACCCCAGCTAACTCATCAGCATCCTTTTTTTCTTTTTTTTTTTTTAAACTTACTTGCCCTGCAAAATGAGTAGCAAGCGACTGGTCTAGGTCTGCCTGGCCTCACTCTCCCCACTCAGCTTGCTACCACTGGGTCTGGGAGGGACTGACAGCCCCAAGGAGCTGCAGGGGGCAGGAACGCTGGCAGCACGGTTCAGGACAAGAAATGCGGAGCGTGACTGTCACTGTGCACTCTGCATTCCCCTGTCGCCACTGGGGGAAGGGGGATCATCTCTATGCGTCTTCTCCTGTCCAAACAAATAGCTGCAATTATAAATAAGCTGAATTGCAGAAGTGAAACTGCCCAGCCGTTCTTTCCACCTCCTACCCTGCAGAGCACGAGGCCGGGCGGGCTGCATGCAGGCTCACCTGCTCGCATGGTCTGCTTGAGAGGCTCCTGGGGAACACCCTATTTAGATGAACGTGACTCACACCAACTGTCAAAAACTAAATTTGTGGTCTAGACAAGAAGACTTGATGCGAACCGTGGCCCCTACCAGGAGTTCATTCCCAGCGGCATCGTGCATTCAAGTCCCCTTCCTTCGCCCTCTTACCTGGATGTAGAACGTCCTGTTGCTTGTTATGATCTCAAAGAGGTTGTCCCGCATTAGAAGGTCCCTAGGACAAGAGAGAGCGGTCATCCACAATTCACCCTGTAGCCTACAGAACCGCTTCTTCTCCCTGCCCATGTGAAGAAACCACCGGTCAAGGCAGACCTCGGATCTAATCAGCATTAATTTGAGGAGCACGAGACTCCCGTTCTGTGCGAAACATCATCCAGCTTCAGTTACGTGCACGCTGTAATTCCCATAGCCCTTGTACAGACACACACATGCTGCTGCCCAAAAGACCATTTATTCACAGTCCCACTCTGCATTAGGGCTCCATTAAAAAAAAGAACAACCTTATAATAAATCCATACCTGGATTTTTAAAGAAGTGGCTAATCAGGAGGCCAACAGGCTGCTTATAATCACGGCTTACCACCTTCAAACACCCACCAACATGCTTACAACATGTCCTACTCATGCTGATAACACGCAGACCTGCTCTTACTCATTAAGTCCTTTCGGCATAAGAGTACTGTAAAGCCTGACCTGATTCTCGGTCACTCGAGTGATTGTCACGCTGGGCTGGGAAGCATTTGGTTAATGAAAGCTCTGACATTCTCAGCTGCAAGAATCTGCATGACCTGGGGTCACAACAGCATCTCGCCTGCTATTTGGGGCACTATTCACAAACGCACGCCCTCATTTGGGTCTGGTCTGAGCTTTAATGCACGTGCAGCCAGTTCCACTCAAGCCCATGTGCTGCCCTCGGGGAATCTGTGGCCAGCTTCACACCAGGTTGATTTTGCCACCTTCATCCCCAGGTCTCACAACAGCCCTGGCCTGTGTACTGCCTCATGCTCCTTCGGCAGAGAAGAATGGGAACAACCTGCCTATGAATCGCTGATTGTTAAGCACCTGAATAGATGGCACAGGGGGGGACACAGGGAGGACAGCATCCTAGGCACAGCCAACTCTGCCCAACCTCCCAGAAGACAGCAGAGCTTGAGGGACTGGAGTTTCCCCCAAAGCAGAACCAAGATCAAGTGTCCTTAGGCTAAAAAAGCCTGAGAGACTCTGGAGAAACTGGGAAGAGGGCCCCACACACACAGGAAGCTGGGGCAGGAGAAAGGAAGAGGCTGCCTGCTTTTGCAGCAAGTGTTTCCATTGTACCAGAGGGACCTGGCATGGAAGGGCAAGAGAGAGACTCCCTGGCTTGCAGAAGCCACGCACAGGGGGCCTGGGCTCCTGATGGGGCTCTGACTCAGGGCTAGACCTCGCGAGCCCCACAATGAGCCTGAGCCGGGAAGCTCAGTGGGTGCTTTCCCGCTGTGTCTGCATTCCCGATGCCGCCCACAAAGGCAATGGTTTCTGTTGGTTTCTGCCAAGCATCTGCATCTCTTGGCTTCCACAACCCTGTCCCTGCACCACTGTCCGCTCTGGGGGCACACCAGCCTGGGGGAGGGTGTACCTCAGCCCTGGGGGCCCTGCTGGCATTGGCGCTAGCCCAGGGCCTGAGCCAGCTGGGCTGCAAAGCCCCATCTCGTGCAGGGATCACAGATGGGGTCCATGCCAGGAACTGGGCCACGGAGGCTGAGAGAGGGGACAGGAGGCCCAAGTGACTCGCCCCAGCCAGGAGCACAGAGCTCCACGCAACGCTGGGCTTTCGGGGCAGCTGCTCCAGCCCACGAGGGGTAGAGGCTGCTCTGTGGCACCCAATGGCAGTGCAGTCCTTCTCCAGCAGCACTCTCTCCTGATGGAAACCCAGGATTGTGCTGGCTTTAGGAAAGGGCAAAGCGCAAGCTTCTCAGGCCAATGCAGGAAAAGCCAAGCCAGCAGCCCAGCCTCTGCTCACTGCATCCTCTCCACACCAGCACAGGTGGCACTCATGCAGCCTGGCCCTGAGCTCCTTTGGGCATGCTACTCTCAGCTCCCATGGCTGGGCAGGCAGGGGTCAGAGGCCAGCCAACCCCTGCTCCCCCAGAGGCAGAAGGGGAGAAGTGACCTGCCCTCATTTTCCACCACTGCATCACCTGCCTCATCGTCCACCTTCAGCAGCCACTTGCTCCACTGTGGGAGTGGAAGACAGCCTGTCCTGCAGGCATCTTCACACTCTGCTTCTGCTTAGCATGGGCTGCACCTCCGCAGCGCTCTCATCCACGCACCCAGGCACAGCGCACACTCCTTGCTGGCTCCTTCTGAGCATGCTGAGCTGCCTCTCTCCATCTGTGCTGAGCAGTTTTCATCTACCTCATCCCCTTTGCAAGGCAGGGAGTCTAGGACCCAGCCCGGGTCTCCCATCCTGCGCCTGCACCCAAGTCTGGGCTGGAAGAGCACACGGAGGGGAAACCTGAGCAGGCGACTGCTGGAAAGACACCCCTGGTGCTGGAAAGGTCCCAGCCACAAACCAGCCACAAACCAGCCCTGGGAACCGCAGGGGACAGGCTAGAAATCCTGTGACTCGGGGGATGCCATGAATGTGACAAGTGGGGAATTCCAGTGAGAAGCAGCGCAACTCAAACCAGGAAGGAAGGCTCTGGCCCCCGAGGAGGGAACGTGTGAGTGGAGGAGAAGCAGGTAGCAGTGGGGAAGCCTGACACTCCACCAGGTCTGCCTGGCAAAACGCTCAAGGATTTTGCATGGAGCAAGAGAAATGCACACAGGAGCAGCCACAGCCTGGCTGGCGGGCACAACATGCATTCCCGGCTGGGGAAAGGGCCTTGAGGGGTGTGTCCCAGACCCCCGCAGCCCCCAAGGCTCCCGTAGAAAGAACAGCTCGCATCCGCAGAGTGCTCACGCTCAGGAGGATGCCGGAGCAGCGGATCAGGCACAGGCTATGACCTGGAGCCACGTCACCTACGTATTGGGTCCCCAAAGGCAGCGAGATATGTCCATCCTGATTTACAAAGGGAGAACTGATGCAGGGGTAAAGGGACTTGCCCCCAGTCACACAGGCAACCTGTGGCAGAGCCTGAATCCCAGCCCTGCGCCCTTCTCCACCCGATCTTCTGCCTGCGCACCCCCAGCTGCACTGGCATGAGACGTCTCTGCCACAGCGCGCAGCAAGAGCGGCTCAGGACAGGAAGTCAAGGGCCATGCCTCATCTCTGGGATGCTACGTGGGGGGTATTTGGGGCAGCAGGACACTGTTCCTCTCCTAGGAGCAGGGCACAGCATGGCATGTCCCTCCAGCCCATTTACTGGTGGGTAGTATCACGCCAGGTCCCCGGCACAGCCCTGTCCAGCAGAAGGGAATGCAGCCTTACCCCGACTTGACCAGGCACTCATGGGTCTTGAGGACGTCCTTCAGTAGGATTGAACGCACAGGCTCCTTGTCCTGGGGAGGCCAGAGAGGGGGAGTAAATGGGTTTGGTGCTGCAGCAGCACCAGAGCCTCCATGGGGCCCAATCTCCCAGCGGCGTGTATATGGGGCCATCGCCCAGGGAGCCTCCCTTGCCGCAGCTCTCGGGGTGGGCACGGGAGTGAGTGCCCACCCATCCCTGTGTCCCTAAGGGCTGCTCCATCCCACCTCCCCCAGCACCAGCCACCGGCACCTACTGGGCCAGGCCCACCCACAGGCTGAAGCACCTGCCCCAGGCGCCAGCAGCACTCGGGTCTCTTCTCGCCCGTGGCCACCCCGGGGGTTTCTCCCACTTGCACAATGTTCAAGTGGTGGTGGATCTGGACGGGAGGCGGGGAGGCTGCTTACCTGCTCGCACTTGAAGTAGCTGATGGAAAACTCATCCAGGACAAAGTACCGGCGCTTCCAGCTCTTCCTCTGGAAAAGGGAGGGGACAGGCCATGACGCCTCGGCCATGGGCATCCAGCCACCTCCCTCTGCCCCTCTGTGCTCCGGGATACAAGCGGGTCTTGAGCACCTGGGCTCATGGCTTCCCCGGACAGAGCGAGGGTGCGACCCTGGGCCGGCTGCACGAGGTAGCAGGCAGGCTGCACAGTGCTCCGGCCCCACTGGGCCACTCCTGAGCAGAAGAAGCTTGCGGGGCGGTACAAGGGCACAGCAGGGCAGACGCCTCCCTTGGGGCAGGGCAGAGGGCACTTGGCAGACAGCCACAGTACCTGCGTCTGCGCCCCAGGAAGCTGGCAGGACAGAGCAGGCACTCACCACGTTCCCCTGCTTCACGCAGTAGCCACTCTTTAGGGATGGGGGTCCTGTGGACGGCTTGGCGCCGGAGGGGGGAATGTAGCTCTGGGAGCGTCTCAGAAGATGATGCCCAGCTGGGTCGCTGCCCTCGGCTCCGTCCCCTCCATTCTGAGCAGGAAGAAAGGACAGGGTGAGTCGCAAACCTGCCCCGTGCGTGGGGCACCCACTGGCAAGGGGAGCCGCTCACTGCCCACGCTGCTGCCCAGAGCAGGCTCCCACCCAGCTCCCCCAAGCCAGGTTGCACTCTGGGCTGGGCAGGCAGGGCCAGTCTCCACGGGGCTCAGTCTAGCAGTGTCCCCAGGGACCTGTTTGGCGGGTGTGTGACAGGAGTCTAGCTTGGGCTCACAGCCCCCTGGCCTGTCTCAGGACAAGCTGTCATGCCCGCCTACGGGGTCCTCGCTGCCCATGGCAGGCCAGGGGTGCCTAGCTGGCTACAGGGCGCTGGGGCCAGTACACGAGGCAGCACTTCTCCCCGTGATGGGCAAAAAGGTGGCCAGAGGAACCTGACAGGCTGCGGGGAGACACGGCTGAATCGGCCAGACAACCCACTCCATCGTCTGCTGCCGGAGCTCAACAGCACCTGCGCCGCACGCAGCCCTGCTCTCAGCGACAGGGGTGGAGACGAGCTGTCTGCCGCTCGCCCGTGCCTGGCTCTTCCCCCAGCGTGGCAGCGCCTGGCCTGAGGTTTGCGAACTGTCACAGCAGCCGCCCCTGGCTCCTGCCCATCCGCTCCCAAGGCTCAAGCTCTCCTTATAAGGCATTCGTGCTCGCAAAGACTACCGGTGTGGTTAACCAGCCCCTGCCCCTGCCGCTGCGCGCCCTCCGCTCTGCACCTTCACACCTCCTCCAGATGAGACCTTGATTTTTCCACATCCAAATACACCTCCCCCCCTGTGCTGAGGCTGACTGGGCCAATGCGGTGGCTGCCCCCGTGGCTTGCACCTCCGTGGCACTGCCTGCAGCCTATGGAGACTTCTAATGAAGCAGAAGCCTGTCTCCTGAGCCACATTTATGCACTGCACAGGAATCCCATGGCCGCGTGCCAGTTGTGCCGCTGCTCGCTTGCTTGTGGGAGGCAATGAGCCCAGCTCCCGGCTGACAAAGGGCTGGTACCCAGCGTGCCCATAAGAGCCCAGCTCTGCTGCCCTGCTTGCCAAGGCAGTGGGCTCCCCTGCACACCCTGGTGCAGCTGCGGGTCAGCGCTGGCAGAGGGGAAACAGCTGGTCAGCGGCCCCAGGGACAAAAGAAGGAACCAAGGAAAGCAGAGCCAGGAGGCAGGCTCGGGTCTTTCCTAGCGGGCATCAGGGTTTCACCACGGGGCTGCCCAGCACCTGCAGAAAGACCCACAGAAAAAGCACAGGAGGAAGAGACCAAATCCCAGGCATAGTCAGGCAGGGCCAGAAGGCAAAGCGCAGTCAGGAACGGAGGCATGAGTTCAGCCGCTCTGCTGCCTGCTGGGCAGCTCTTGCCAGGCCCACAGCCTGGACAGTGGCCAAACCTACCGCCAGGCATGTGCAGGCCTGCCCCTGCACGGACACATGCACCACTAGCACCCGGGTTCACCCCGGGGTGCCCCAGGCACAAGAGGGGAAGTGGTGCCAGCTGACGAGCATGCCCAGCCAGGGAGAGCGGTGGGAGACCCTTGTTCTCAGGTTGGCAACGACTCCTGTACTGGGGAGGCACCTGCCCAGCTCAGAGCAGGTCAGCCATTCGCACCATGCTACTCACTAGCTTCTTTCTGGCTGCAGAGGCCCGGGGCGAGAGGGTCTGTGCCCTCGGAGACAGAGGGAACGAAACACCCACACTAAAGCCCACGCAGAAAGCAGGCCCAGCATTCAGTGCTTCTCCGGCACCTTTGCCCCACAAGCTCTGAGGCAGCTGACCCTCCCCAGGGCCTGGTTCGGGGACGCAGGCAGCCTGCCGCACACAGGTGTCAGGGAGAAACTCCTTGCACAAGCAACTCTACAGCACCACCTCCCTGATGGCCACTGGTGCTGGAGACAGGACACCAGATGAGCTGGACCAGAATGTGCCCCAGCCACACAGTCCCTGGGCGCTACGCACCTCAAGCTAGGGAAGGGCGAACACCTGCCAGGGAGAACACTGCAACGCCCTATTTCTGCATGCTGTTTTTAGTCCGAGACTGCGAGCGGCTGGAATTTGCCCCACGGCAGGTTCTCAGGACACCAGAACAGGGAAGTGCCAATGGTTGCGCATGTGCATCCCCACCAAATATCACGCCGCTGCAGCAGGGAGCCCCAGCCTAGGGCAACCCGGCTCAGCTGGGGTGGGCAGGGCAGTGGCAGGGGCTGCAGCCTGGGGCAGGAAGGCTGCGGCAGCTGGCAGATCTGCACGCACTTCCTCAGCCCCTGGAGTCTCCTGGCACCTGGAGCAGAGCCCCTCACCCTCCAAGCAGTGCCACGTGCAGCTGGCTGCAGCTATTTTTAACCCCAGTCGGAAGGTTTCGCAGGCCCAGACCTGATTTCCTGAACTGAAAGTGCAAACTCTCTTCATCCGTAGTGGCGGCAAGCCAATGGCCTGTCCCCAGACACAGCTAACTTCCAGGAAGGCTGGCAGCCTCCTTGCTTCTCACCCAGAGCTAACACCTAAATGTCAAGGCAACTGCAGTCTGAGACACACCCAGCAAGGATGTCAGGCACTGCGCTGGAAAGAGGCAACCGCACACAGCAGCCTCCCCTGGCAGTCACCCTCCAGGGCTGGAAGTGCCACCCCCATCTACCACCATGCGCCCACACTGCCCTGAAAGCTGGCACAACCAGCACCCTGCAAGGACTCACACCCAATTCAAGGCACATAACATTATTAGTTGGTCCCAGAGCATGCCAAGGCACGTGCGCAACATGCTGCAAGCAGAGGAAGGGGTAGGTCTCAGACCCGCTGGCTGTGTCCCCCGGTGCAGTGCCTGCCACCCGTACTCAGCGTGAGGCACCGTTGCGCTGGCCAGAGCTCACGAGACTGCAGGAGATGCCGCCAGCGGCAGGCTTTCTGCTTCCACCTCTCTGCTGGACCCGGCCTGGGGGCACTTGTAGAGTGCTGTCCACCCCAGGGTCCAGGTGCCGAGACAGGTGAATTCCCAGCAAGCTTGGAGACCCACCTCTCTCCATGGAACAGGCTCAGGATAGGCACATCCGGCCCTTTCAAAGAGGGAAGGGGCTTTCTGCAAGTGCCAAATCCCTTGGGGCAGAGTCCAGCCTCGTCACCCTCTGGGCTGGCTGCCCAGATGTCCCCGGGCCTGCCCTGGCAAGAGGTCTGCAGCCCCTGTGAGACACTAGCAGCAGTGGGTCTGCCCACAGGCTGCACTGGTGTAACATGTGAGGTGGGTTATGAGGTGGCATGCCTGAACACCTGGGTTACGTGGGCACTCCGAGCTGCTCGGGACCCTCAGGGCTCAGAAAGTCACTTCCAAGCAGCAGCAGCTGAGGTTTTCCACCCCGGTAGATGCAGGGGGCTGGGCCTGCTGCGGTGCACGACAGCCACACACCAGCGCTGAGCTGCTGAGTTTGCTGCAGTGGTTTCAGAAAGCAAGAGGCTGGGTGGAAGCTGCCTATCCCACAGAAAAGGCCATGTTTCCTGGCCAGGTCCCAGCATTGCCAGGCTTCCCTCTGGCCGCCGCGTCCACAAGGGGGAATCGGCACTCCCTGCTCACCTGTGCCCTGCCTGGCCAAGCAGCCTGACCCCTGCATCTCACTCTGCCGGCCCCTCCAAGATGCTAATCACACCCATTCAGGGCCCAGGTCATGGCCTGGACAGGCCCATGAGTGCAGAGGGGAACCTCCCCCAAGCTGGGGTGCAGAAGCCCAGAGAGCAACAGGAATTTCATCCCCACACGTGCGGAGCAGGGAGCGTGCTGCTGGGCATGGCCTCATCTCTTGCCGCAGTTATCCGCCACTCCTGAGACTGCAAGATGAGCCCCCGTGGAAGCGACCTACGCGGATGGGTCCCACTCCCCTCTTGAAGCAGGGCACACTCCAGCAGCACTGTGTGCCCCTGACCAGTCTCCAACTGCGCCACAATGCACGTGGCATTTCTGCCAGGCCCCGGCTGCCCTCTCCCAAGGCCACGCAAGCATGCCCAGCTCACCTGGTTGATGGAGATGGGGGTGTGCACAACCACCCCTCCAATGATCTCAGTCTTGTAGGCCACCTGCGGCTTCTTCTCCTGGGCCTGGGGAACAACGGGGGGCTTGGTAATCTCTGTGGCAGGGGGCGAGTTCCCCCCCTTTGGTACCTATAAAAGGAAGAGGTGGTTGAGACATCTAGCCATGCACCACGCCTTCCCCAAGGAGTGGAAGGGCCCAGGCAGGTTTCCAGCCTGAATCTGGGACACCGTTCTTTCCACCCTCCTGCTTAAACACAGCAGCAGCAGCATCCCTGTCAAAGCCAAGGGGCGAGACTCCCTGTATCAGGGCGCGGTCGCCTCCCAGGCCACTGGCAGGAGCAGCGGGTGCAGAGAGAGCAGAGCAGGTGGATAATTAGGCATCACCTCACATGAGTCTGCAACTCACCTCTGCAGCGCAGGGAATGCACACTGCTCACTCCTTTCATTGCCCTCGCTCCCATTACCGCCACCTGTCACAAACAGCTTTCGTTGGTCTAACTAAGCTACGCTGCAGCACGTGGACGCTGATGCTGCTGGCTCCGTGCAAGGCGGCTGCTGGCTCCCAGCTCCGCATCCCAGGCATGTCCCAAATGCTTTGACACTGACAGCCAGGAAGAGGCTGGAGGGGCTGCAGGCAATGCCAGTGCCTGGGGAAGCGGGGTGGCACAGAGGGGCACAGAGCTCTGCCAGAAGCCTTGCTGGTTCTGGGGCACTTCGCTGCCTGCGGCTGCCTGCAAGTGCCCAGGGATCAGGGATGCATCTGTGCCGCTGCTGGCTCCTGCTCTGAACACGTCTCTTCGTGTCACTAATGGCTCAACCCCTACATAGGGGGTCTCCCTCATCCCACCCAGCTGCCCTTCCCAGGGGGACGTGCAAGGACCCTCCCTCCTTGCACCGAGCTGCACGGTGGGTGTGGTACAACCGTCCCCAAGTGATCACAGCCTGCCCTTCCCGGTGCAACCAGGTGTTCACTTTCATGGCACAGCGTGAGGCCAGGGCGGAGCCGCTGAGCCACCCAGGCACTGCCTGCCCAGAGACGCCTCTCCAGAGCAGTGCTGGTGAAACTGGGTCATCAAGAGTCATCTTCAACTGGGACCAAAGCCAGGCGGCCTCACTCCCACTGCCCTGTGCGCAGCTGTTTCCTTTGGAGGTGTGTTTTATGCCCATGCTACACAGGGCTGACTGGCAGCCTCCTGCTCAGAAAGGAAACTGCCCTCGTTCCCCCAGGCTTGGGAGTTTACCTGCCTCGCACGGAGGCTGCTCAGCCAGCCAGGGTCTCGCCTGCAGCCCTCACCTTTGCTCTGCTTGCTCCAGGGGCACTGCTAGTTGCATCCAGCTTCCCCAGCATTTGCCACACACTACATGCAGCTATGGGACAGGGGTCCGCTCGTGCCACACACTGCACGTGCAAAGGGGGAAGACGCTGCTATCCTGAAGCAACGTGACAGCTGGCGCAGAAGTCCCCTGCACCCCTGCCCTGGCCCAATTTCAGCATCTCTCCATTGCCTCCAGCAGGGCACCTGACCCACCAAAGCACTAATCCTGGCTCCGCACCAATGCCCTCTCTGCCCTGGGTGAGATAACTCGCACCTCTCTTGGTTTCCCATTCCCCCGCTGCACAACGTACATTCGGCACGTGGACCTGGTGGGCCCGGACAAAGCTCACATGTGGACCTGAACCTGTCGAGACCTGGGGAAGCGCCGGATGCTATTGTTCTGCTTGCTTCTGTCTGAGGCCAGGTAACAACACTGAGAAACTGCACGTAGCCACAAACACAGCATCTCACAGAGGCTCTGGAGATGGCCTCCTGACATCCAGAGCTGCACTAGAGGCCATTTCAAACAGTTTCAGTCAGGTGCTTGGTGCAAGGCTCGTCCACCAGTACTTTGGCTGAGACCCAGCTTCAGTCCCTGGGGAACAGGCTGTAGCAAATGTGAAATAAGCCCCGCTGTGAAAGAACTGCATGCAGTGGAGGTGGGACCGGTCCAACTCAGCTCACCCAAGCTGAGTGCAAGGAAAGCTGGAGCAGGGAAGGGAAGGGGTCAGGGCTCTCTGGCAAGATCCAGTCAGTCAACTGCCAAGTCCCGAATGCATCTCCAGCATGAAACAGCACAACGGCAGGTAATTCCCCTCTTTGCAAGTATATTTTCCCAAGCGAAGCTTCAGAGCAATCCAAGCAGCTCTCCACAGCCAGGCTTAGCTAACCAAGTGGTAATGCAGCCAGCCCCTGGGGTAGGGGAACAGGAAACATGAGCATGTTAAGACACCATTGCTTCCTGTTTCAGAAACAGTGCAGCAGCTGCGAAAGACAGAGCAAAGCCACCAGCCGGCAAGTTCCCACAGCAGCCCAGGCCCAGCGCCGTGCTCCGTGGCACGCACCTGGGCAGCGCGGCATGGTCAGGACCACATGTGCCAGGCCACCGCACGGATGGGCATGACGCACAGCTGCCCAGAGCAGTGCTGCAGGAAGGACGTCATCTGTTTGCACCTCCTCCCCCGCTGTGGGAGAGGCCACAGGCCAGAGGCTTGTGCATGTTAGCGCCAGAGGCAACCAAGGCAGAGGAAATGGTTGCACAACACATGCTTCAAGAGACTGTCAGGGGAGGGGACCTGAACTTCTGCAAGGGCTCTTGCTCACAGGGGCTGGTCTGGAGCAAGCTCAGGTCACAGTCCCGACACTGCGGTCACAGTGAACCATGTCCCTCACCAGAGCCCAGCTAGCCTGACTGCCTCCATCACTGCGGCTTGCAGGGCATTGCCATCACAGCCCCTGCGAGGTGGGGCTGTGCTCTGGTCCCTCTCCAGGCACCCCTCCGTGTACGCAACGAGCGCCGAGCGGCACCCGGGATCTCAAAACCCAGTCACGTCCTCGCTGCCAGCCCATCCTTCCTGTCCTGCCAGCAGGCCCTGCTTACTCAGCAACAACCTGTTGCAAGTGTGAAGCGCAGAACAAGTGCTCCGGTAAGCTGGCTCCCACACCACATCAAGGAGAGCCCCTCGCCCTGGCAGCACGCACGTCAAGCGGGAGTGCTTCAGAAGCAAAAGGCTGCTAGCAGCCCTGGCCCTACTGAAACCCAGCATCCCCTCGTAGCTCCTTTGGCGTTTCTCAGAATCTACTGCAGCATTACACGCTGTCCTGTGCCCCAAGCACCTCTGTGACAAGGGCCACACATTCAGGGCTCCTGAAAAGCAAAAGATCTCCCCATGGCAGATCTCGCCCAGGAAATGAATGGCAGGTACAAACAGCGGCAGGCGAGAACAGGCAGCTCACCCCTGACTGCGTGGGCAGGTCCCCACAGTGTCAGCCTCAGTTTGTCTGCAGACACAGGAAGGCAAAGGTAGCATTCACCAGCCAATGCTAAGGCAGGGGAGGCCTGAGGACAGGTACAGCGCTGGCGCGTTGAGAAGGCAGGGCACGCAGCACCCACCGGGACTGTTGCAGAACTGGAGCAAAACGGTCTTTGATAGGGATCAAAGCATGGCCTGTGCAACACGCCTCCTCTCAATGCATAATTTACGGTCCCCGCCAAGAGAGCGGCATCCACCGAGCGCTGTCAGCAGTAGGCAGGCAGAATCCCACAGCTCGCCCTTTTAAAATCATCTGACTTCTTCAATAGATCAATGTGGCTCTTCCACATCACGCCTCAAGGCAGGCGCTCTACCACCCAGCTTGTCCAGCCGAGGGCTGGATCTGCTGCACACCAGTGGCTCCATCACTCTGGTCTGCTTCTGTACTTAAGCAATTAGCACATCAAAGAGCCAGGGAGAGGCAACGTCTCATGGTCAGGAACATTAAACAGCCAAGGAGAATGCAAAGCAGAAGTCATTGGGTCAGCAGTGTGAATACAAGAGAGGAAAACACAGAGGCATGCCCCCTTTAAGTCCAGTCACAATCCACACCCCTGACAAATCCCATGAGACAAAGTATTTGCTGCGTCTCATCACATGAGGCCCGATGTTCCAGGAAGGGATAAAACTTGAATAGGCAAATGATTGAAGCATAAGAAAGGAATCCTTTGACAACAGCAGCAAAAACTCAGTTGCACGCAGAGCCTAGGCTGTAGTAATTACATTAGCACAGCAGCACCAGAACACCCATGGATGTGGCTAGCTCCAGCAGAAGTCACTTTTCCCAAGGGCTTCATGCCTCTTGTGCACAGCAGCTGTGCCAGGGCACATGGGGAAGTGCATTTATTTGTCTAATGTCTACAAACAAACATGAAGGTCTCTTGAGATCTGAGTATGGGGAAAGGGCGCAAAGCCACAGGGAACCCCCTCTATTTGAAGGCCCATCTTCAGGCTAATGCAGCATCCTGCTCTCACCACTGCCTGCCCTGGGAGGTACCAGGTATGGAGCACTTGGGGTCCCTGGTCCCAGCTGTAATGCCGTGCACTTGGAAACCTGACCCTGTTTGGCTGTCAAGCCTCTCTGCAGGCTTTGATAACCTCCGGTCAGCCCGTTTGCTCAGGGCTTTCTCTTTCTTCAGGCACCGAAGCTTGCCAAGCAGCCATCTGGCAGGCAGTGCACTCCCCCACTAACCACAGAAACAGCCGTGGGAGCAGCCCTGAGCACCAAGGGCAGCTGAGGAGACTCCAGAGCTCAAACATTGCAACTGCTCTATGCCACAGTGCAGCGTGAGGCTGGACTAGGGCATCTGCACATTTCAGTGCTTCACCACTCTCACAGAAGACCCTTTGGCCTCGGAGGGTGGGCAGGCATTGAGGCAGAGGAGCCATGGACTCTCCAGCCCTGGAAGTTTTCAAGAGCAGGCTGGACAGACACTGAGCTGGGCTGGTTTAGTCAGGACTGATCCTGCTTTGAGCAGGGGGCTGGGCTAGATGGGACCTCATGAGCTCCCTCCCACCCTTGATCGCCCTATGATCCCAAGGGACGCTGGCAGATGGAGTGGTGGCCAGCACAGAGCAGTGCTTCAGCTTCTCCCTTGGCCTCCTGACTGTGAGTCATGGCCTCGGCACTAAGAGAAGGAGACAGACCCATAAGTCTGAGAGGGAATTCCCAGAGAGGAGAGGAGAGAAGAGGAGAGGAGAGGCAGGCGGCGCGAACGGCAGTAAGCGCGGCTGAGACTGCGGCTCCGCACCCTCCTCCAGCACCATGCTGTGTCAGCAGAACCAGCCACCTCCGCTGAGCAAGCTGCACGGGAAGGAAGGGGAGCTGAGGGGGCAGCAGAGGGGCTGGCAAAGAAGCCACTTCCCCAAGCTTTATCAGACAGTCCCATCACGGGCCAGGCAGGATGGGGCAACAGAGGAGATGGCACTGTGACTTACTGTAATCTTGCTGGCCCGGTTCAGAGCCTCCACCCAGTCCTGTAGGTCTTTTTGATCACTGGCTTGTAAGAAGTAACGCTGAGATAAGGCATTGATAACTATCAAAGGAGGGAACAAAGCAGAGAGGGAACCTAGTCAGTGCTCTGCATGAGTAACACTAATTACATAAGGACTGGCTGACTGTCAGCAGCTCCTCTCCAGGCCAATCCTGCTCTTTCCCCTGGAGACTCTGCAGGGGACAGCACAGGGACGCAGCCCCCCAGCCCACCCCTGGGTGCAGCACGGCAGCTGTGCAACTGCAAGCGGGCAGCTTACATGGGAGTGCAGGCTGAGAGGTGAAGAGTACCACATCCAGCTGAAACCACAGAGCCAGTGTGTACTGTGAGCCGGGAAATATCATAACCTAGAATCTAACCAGGACAGCAGCTCTACCGTCCTGTGGGGCTGCTGGGGTCTGCAGCCAGCACTCTCACTCACCACCTTGACACCAGGCCTCTGAAAGGAGAGGCAGTGCTGCTCCCAACCCACTGTGCCGGGGGGTCCCTGGGCACCACAGGGGCCCTTGCCTCTGCCCTCTGACTGCTCGGCCTGGGCTGCCTGCTGGGTGCTAGCCAGGCAGGTCAGAGGAAACGTTCTCACAAGATTTCTGCAAGCAGAAACTTGAGACATTTGCCATTGCACAAGACTGCCGAAACCCCTGTTTCTCTGTGGCAGCTCCTGCCTCCCCAAAGTTGTCCAGGGCCGAGCAGCACAGAGCCAGGCCCTGAGAGCACCGTGCTGCAGCCGGCAGGCTGGAAGAGGCAGCATCCCGCAGCACCTGCAGAGAGGCACTGCCCTTGGGCCAAGCTTGGCTCTCAGCTGTCTTCAGACCTTGGTGCTGGCCCTTCTGCATGGGGAGGGGATTTTAAGGCCTCCTAGGCAGCTTCCCAGCAAACAGAGGACCCTAGGCTCAGGGGCTGTAACAAAGGCCTAGCATGATTCCCAAGGGAAGCGCTGCGATTCCCACGGGAAGCTCAGGAGCCTGGCAGGCTCTCCTTGCCTTGGCTTCCTCTGAAACCCCCTCCCACAGTGCACATTACTCACCAAAGCAGAAGGGGGTCTTGGGTTTCTGTTTCAGGGTGGCAATGCTGACCTGAAGAGGAACAGAGAGCAGCAGTCAGGGGAGCAACACATGGGGCACAAGAGGCTCACGTGCACACAAGGAATGTGGGTGAGGACCAGCAGGGTGTGAACCCAGGTCTCCAGCCAAGCCCTGCAGTCCTGGGCCTTCGTTGTCACTGCAGTCTTGTTACACAGGCTCCAGCACCCACTTTGCTCAAAAAGGGGCACTGACCACTACTGCGTATGTCTGGTTGTAGACCGCGAAGCGACCTGGCCAGCCAGAGCCTGGGCAGAATGAACCCGACAGGAGGGAGAGGCCCAACCGCCCCGGTCTTCCTCCCAGGCCTCTCCGTCTGGGCTGCACCCCCTGCAACAGGCGTGCTCGCTGCACCCCTCTGAGGGGCATGAGGCAGAGATCCTATGGGGCAGGGGTGGTGCTTGCACAGACACTCAGCACGAGTGACAGCATGCACCAAGACCTCGTAGGCAGGCTGCGGGTCAGTGCCAAAGAGGCACACGCCTGCAGGGACAGGGGTTTGACTATTTGCCTGGCGAACGCAGCAAGGGCAGATGTGCCACTCGTGCATGCACATGCTCGCACACATGCACGCAGGCATGCACATGCAAACACAGGAGAGCGCTGCAGAAAGGGCTGCCACAGGGAATGCCCATGCTTCCTCCCACCTGCCACCTCAGCCACGAGCAGGCACCTGCGCTGCTGCAGCTTCTGGGGTGGCCTTTTCCTCTGCTGGCAATCAACCGTGCCACACAGGCAGTCTCCCTGGCAGCAGGCCAGGCCAGCCTCGCAGCTACAGAACCACCCTATGTGCTACCAGGCTTTCAGCTGGCCAGGTCAGACAGCATCGAGCACCTGTCAGAGTGCCAGGAATCGTGCGAGCCCCCCAGGGCTGCTTTGCACCAGGAGTCGCGCCCCAGGGGAGCGAGCTCTCAGGAACCCACTTGTATCCAACTGAACGCAGCCTGCATACAGCAACTAACCAAAGGAAGGTCAGCTCTGAGGCTGGGCCTTTGTCGGCTGTTCCCTGCCCCCACCCCAGGCACTGGCTTTGCTGCACAAGGACCCGCAGAAGTCTTGAACATACGGTGGCCTAGCATCGATGCTCCATGACAGCAATTAGGACAACTGAAGGGAAATAGCAGTGGTTTTTCCCCAAAGAGTCATTTGCATGCAAATCTCCCCCGGGGCTCCAGGCACTGCACTCATGGAGCGTTTCTCCTGACAGGGTTCCTGCTCCTGCGCCAGGCTGTAATGTTTTCAATATGCTTCTCCAGTCTTTCCAGTGTATTTGCAATTGGTGGTTACAACCCCTAGCAGAAGCCAACCCTTCAGTTTGCAACCGAGCCCTGGGCTGCAGCAATCTTCCTTCAGGCCACAATGTGGATCGTTTGTCAGCGAGTTTCCCTCCGACCCAGGGGTGGGGTCCCCCCGTACCGCCCCACCCGGGATTCATGTAGACAGCAAGAGGAGCAAGGAGCTCTGTGTCTGGGTCCAGCTGCAGGAGCAAAAGGTGGGACAGCCTCATGCTGGATGCAGAGGATGGAGCATCCGAGGCCACAAATGCAATCCCACTGCTGCCACATTCCTCTTCCCTCTGCCCTGGGTCCCTCTGGCTTCCTCTGCCTCAGTTTACTCATTGAGGGTTCACGCAGACCACCCCACCACGCTATTCACCTGGAAGCAGGCTACAGGGAACAAGCGTGGACCTGCTGCTCGCCATCCCCCACCCCACAGCACAGCACACCATGCAGATGTCCAAATCTCCTGCCCCAGAAACGTCACCCTGCCTAGCTCAGTATCTGGACGCTGGTGCTTCTAGGGTGCGTCATTAACCTCCCCAGAGCACTGCCGGAAGGAGGGGGCAGTGCATAGCATCCATTAATTCTCTCCAAGCACCACCCTAACATTACCTTGGAGATGTAGGTCAGTGGCAGAGATCCAACAGCTCCTGAGCCGACAGCCAGGTTCTGCAAGACATTGGCAAGGCACAAAAAGTTCAATGACAAGCAGACAGTGAAGGAAGCAAGGAAGAGGATCAGGTAATGACTGATGTGGGCAGAACACCAGTCAGCAGTCAGATCACCTGCTCAAGCAGCTGGAAACCTGGGCTCCGGCCTGCTGCAGGCCTTGGGGGCAGACTGCACCCCCCACAACCTTACACCTGTGCAGCATCTAGCGCGGAAAGGCACCAAACTCATTGCAACCTCTAGACACTACAGTAATACAAGCACCACTGGTGTTCGATGATCCTCCCTCCCCTCGCAGTCTCATGGTTCTGCCTTTGACCCCTCCAAGAGCAAAGCAGGAGCGCAACTAAATGCCACTGACCCTACACGATAAAATGCACGTTTACTCTTTCACATCAGAGAACAAAGTGTGAGCTCAGGGACACGCTCCGAAAGCAAGTACAGGCAGCTCACTCGGAGCTATAGTTCAAGAAGGCCCAGGCTCAGCCCATGAGAAACCCCAGGAGCTGTGGGATTACCCTGCTGTTTGAATTCCTGCACCACACACCAGGAGCACTCCTGGAGCCGGCAGCCATGCCAAGCACAAACTCCCGCTACTCCAGCCTGCCGGGGCACGGGCTCAGAAAGACATTTTCTGCATGATGCCTTTCCTGGGACAACCGGTTTCTCATCGTCCTCATGGCCTGCAGCCCACAGACACAGGACACCTTAACAGGGATCGCCCAACTCGCACCGGCGCGCCCATCTGTATCCTTGGATGGCTCCAAACAGCGACGTGCTGTGGGGCAGAGCTGCATCCAGGGGCGTGCAGGGCACAGGACTGATCTGAAAAGCTTCCTCCCGCATAGGCTCAGCCCATACCAGAAAGCATCCGGCATTGCCTGCTTCTTGCGCCACGATCTGGCAAGGCCATCGCTTAGCTAAGCCCCTTACTGTTCAGCAAAGCCCTTACACCCATTCTTCAAATCCCACTAACTTCAGAGACACCCAAGCCCATGCTCACAGGTCAGGGTGTGATATGCACCCGGGGCCCAAGCATGGGGCTGCTCTGCTTTCCACATGGAGCATGGGAGGGACGAAGGCATCCCTCGGTTCAGCCAGGCAACCAGCAGGGAGGACCTGCTGGCACTGGCCGAGCGTGCCCCTGGGTGCCACCCTGCTCCCAGATCGTGGAGTCAGCCCACAACAATACTGCAGCCCCATGGGCCAGACACCAGCTCTGCAAATGTTTCCTGCTGCCCCTGGACTTCGGGCTGGGGCTGGCCCACTGCCATGTCATGCAGGCCTCCAGGCTGCATAGAGGAGCGGGGATCAGGACTGTTTGACACCGGCCCTCGCTACTGATAATATTCCTGCTTCCTCTAAGCAAAATCCCCCCACTTTTGCCCCTTGAAAGGGAACCGCTGTTTCCAGCTACCTCCAGGCAGAAGGCTGCTCAGGCAACGTCAGCCAACATCTGCATCCCAGCTGGAGCCTGACCCAAAGGCAGCGCAGCCAGAAGGCAGACTCCTGCGTGTTTCCGTGAGCTCTGGATTCGGCCACAGGCCTGGGAAAGCAGCCTCCGAGTTAGAAAAGGAAGGGAGTCCCAACTGGAGTTTGGGGATGGCGGGGGGAGGG